TTACATTTAGCAGTACTACGGCCAATACTGCTTGCTTGTTTACTGTACCCCACCAGGACATCACACAAGCAAAAAACACCCGGTGACACAAGATGTCAACATGCGGATAAGGATCACCCGTGGAGAGGTCCATAAACCCCTTTCAGCCGCTTGGCCACATTTGTAGCCCACTTATGTTCAGGGCTCCCGGAAAAAGCCTGGGTGGAACTTCAAATAAGGAAAAATTGCACCCCACAAGGGGATTATTTATTACTACGACCAATAATGCACTGTAGGTTACACCAGGGTAGCGCCTTTAGGGCACCATGTTAAGTCAAGGGAAGTAAAGGCGGCAAACGTGATGCTGACCACTTCGCACGCCGAAAATATAGGTCTGGCTCTGTTTGCATGATACGCCTGAAGGCGTGAAAAAATGTCTTTACGCCGAATGAGTTGTCCCTATGTTTAAAACTGGGGCACATACATAACAGAAAGAAGACGATAAAGAGATATAATACGATTAGTTACGCAGATCTCCGTCTGGATTTCGGTGCCCCATTGTGGGTAAAACAAGAATGGGCCCACTGCCTCCCCAACAAGCATGTCGTGAAAGTCGACTAATGGGGGTTTCCTTCAAAGACGGGCTGCATCTGCCTGAGGGGCAATGATCCAACCGTGTCCATACAAATAAATCAGGTTTGTAAAATGGATTTGCACGCAACACTCAGATTCTGAAACAGGCCTAAAGTCTAAAAGTGGACGAATAACCAGAACTTTCCGCCGGAGTTTGTAGCCGGTGTACGCGAAGAAGAAGGACGTTACGCAGAAATATTGTGCTGAAACGTAGAATTGTGAATACTATAACCCTACCTTTTCATAGTTTCCAGCTGACCAGTCGGTGGATTCGTCATTCCACTCAAAGGCTGCCAACTTGTTGCCTGTAAGCTTGGCAAAGGCGTAGATGATGTGCGTGCACAGCTTGGGGTCGATGTCGGTGGGGAAGTACTTGGTATCATCTGTGGGTCTGTACTGAGCCCAGTTAGTGAAATAGCAGACTACACGACGGCACGGCGCCCCCTGAGACAGAGGCGGCGCATTGGTCAGGGGCTCTGGCTTTGAAGTCGGACCAGGGGCCTGAGTTGGTCGGGGTCCCTCAGTTTGGGGAGCCTGCGTTTGAGGATTGTTATTGCTGCCAGTTGCCCACACACAAACTTTGGGACTTGGGTCGAATACTGTACCTGGGGCACAGTTAAAGAGATATTCGGTCCCAGCAGCACATTCGACGAACCTGTTATTGTTTCCGGGGTCAGGGTAGATGCCATCTGACTTGCCGTCACACAGGCTAGCCGTGGCAGTCTGCACTGCCAGTGCTACAACAAGCGGGAAAATGAGCGTCTGCTGGAAACATATAACAATTTATTAATACAGTGACAGTTTACCAGTTGTGAAAATGAAGAGACAAGCTACAAAATAGCAAATATACCAGCAAATTTCAACCGAAGTCTTTTATCGTCAACAGTTTCGTCAGTAATTTCCACTGTTGCAGTTGAATTTCGCGTGGACAAACTGACTATCCATTGCTTGATGGGTAGCACTGACTACTGATATTATTTCTTGACGTAGAATATCGTTTTTGTCATCAGTCCATCTTCTCTTTGGAAGCTCTTTTGCCCGTCTTCATCAAAGAATAAAACAAGAAGAATCAAAAACGATATCCTCAAACTGAGTCGTAGCTTAAAGAGAAAGAAGGCTTCGATCATTATTTTCTTCTTCTTCTTCTTCTTCTTCTTCTTCTTCTTCTTCTTCTTCTTCTTCTTCTTCTTCTTCTTCTTCTTCTTCTTCTTCTTCTTCTTCTTCTTCTTCTTCTTCTTCTTCTTCTTCTTCTTCTTCTTCTTCTTCTTCTTCTTCTTCTCGTCCTCGTCCTCCTCCTCTCCCTCCACTTCCTCATTCTCTAGCCCAATTCTGCCTTTCAGCGTCAGGTTTTTCACTCAAGTGTGAGCGATGTGCTACGTAGATGGTGGTATATACGACCTCGGATATTCCATCTATCCATCGCTTTCGTGGTCGACCTCTAACTCTGCGTCCATTATGTCTAAGTCGCAGGGCTCTCTGTGTTGTCAAATTTTAAACACTACAAAGTATCTTAAGTTTCAACGCTGTGTAAACAGTGAAAGCTAGTTCCTTAGTAAATACTGCCTTTGGAGAACGAAGAGTTAGGCTTACATTCTTTCTATGCAGCGTCATATGAGATCGAGTGACTTCTGAAAATTGCTTTATCATCATTGTCCTGTTGAGCCATTATATGTTACATAGGCTTGCAGTCCATTCCTCCCGTCCCTGATAGTGTCACATCGGCTTGCAGTCCATTCCTCCACTCCGTGATAGTGTCACATAGGCTTGCAGTCCATTCCTTCCGTTCCTGATAGTGTCACATCGGCTTGCAGTCCATTCCTCCACTCCGTGATAGTGTCACATCGGCTTGCAGTCCATTCCTTCACTCTGTGATAGTGTCACATCAGCTTGCAGTCCATTCATCCACTCCGTGATAGTGTCACATCGGCTTGGAGTCCATTCCTCAATTCCGTGATAGTGTCACATCGGCTTGCAGTCCATTCCTCCAGTCCGTGACAGTGTCACATCGGCTTGCAGTCCATTCCTTCACTCTGTGAGAGTGTCACATCGGCTTGCAGTCCATTCCTCCATTCTGTGATAGTGTCACATCGGCTTGCAGCCCATTCCTCCATTCCGTGATAGTGGCACATCGGCTTGCAGTCCATTCCTCCAGTCCGTGATAGTGTCACATCGGCTTTGAAGTGTTGTCAAATTTTAAACACTACAAAGTATCTTAAGTTTCAACGCTGTGTAAACAGTGAAAGCTAGTTCCTTAGTAAATACTGCCTTTGGAGAACGAAGAGTTAGGCTTACATTCTTTCTATGCAGCGTCATATGAGATCGAGTGACTTCTGGAAATTGCTTTATCATCATTGTCCTGTTGAGCCATTATATGTTACATAGGCTTGCAGTCCATTCCTCCCGTCCCTGATAGTGTCACATCGGCTTGCAGTCCATTCCTCCACTCCGTGATAGTGTCACATAGGCTTGCAGTCCATTCCTTCCGTTCCTGATAGTGTCACATCGGCTTGCAGTCCATTCCTCCACTCCGTGACAGTGTCACATCGGCTTGCAGTCCATTCCTTCACTCTGTGATAGTGTCACATCGGCTTGCAGTCCATTCCTCCATTCTGTGATAGTGTCACATCGGCTTGCAGCCCATTCCTCCATTCCGTGATAGTGGCACATCGGCTTGCAGTCCATTCCTCCAGTCCGTGATAGTGTCACATCGGCTTGCAGTCCATTCCTTCACTGTGATAGCGTCACATCGGCTTGGAGTCCATTCCTCCATTCTGTGATAATGTCAAATCGATTTGCAGTCCATTCCTTCACTCTGTGATAGTGTCACACAGGCTAGGCTTGCAGTCCATTCCTTCACTCTGTGATAGTGTCACATCGGCTTGCAGTCCATTCATCCACTCCGTGATAGTGTCACATCGGCTTGGAGTCCATTCCTCAATTCCGTGATAGTGTCACATCGGCTTGCAGTCCATTCCTCCAGTCCGTGATAGTGTCACATCGGCTTGCAGTCCATTCCTCCACTCCGTGATAGTGTCACATCGGCTTGCAGTCCATTCCTTCACTCTGTGATAGTGTCACATCGGCTTGCAGTCCATTCATCCACTCCGTGATAGTGTCACATCGGCTTGGAGTCCATTCCTCAATTCCGTGATAGTGTCACATCGGCTTGCAGTCCATTCCTCCAGTCCGTGATAGTGTCACTTTGGCTTGCAGTCCATTCCTTCACTCTGTGATAGTGTCACATCGGCTTGCAGTCCATTCCTCCATTCTGTGATAGTGTCACATCGGCTTGCAGCCCATTCCTCCATTCCGTGATAGTGTCACATCGGCTTGCAGTCCATTCCTCCAGTCCGTGATAGTGTCACATCGGCTTGCAGTCCATTCCTCCATTCTGTGATAATGTCAAATCGATTTGCAGTCCATTCCTTCACTCTGTGATAGTGTCACACAGGCTAGGCTTGCAGTCCATTCCTTCACTCTGTGATAGTGTCACTCAGGCTTGCAGTCCATTCCTCCAGTCCGTGATAGTGTTCCATAGGCTTGTAGTCCAATCTTCCACTCCGTGATAGTGTTACATAGGCTTGCTGTCTATTCCTCCAGTCCGTGTTATCCTGCACAATCCTTTCAATACTATAGATCAGCAGTTCTCAACCTGCCGGTCACGACCCCCGCCCCCTTTTTGTGTGGTGGTAAAACGGTCGACCCTTTCACAGGGGTCGCCTAAGACCATGAGACAACATATTCATTGAAGTTGTGAAGGCAAATAATTGTTTAGGGGACTGTATTAAAGGGTCGCATTAGGAACGTTGAGAGCCACTGCCATAGATAAAATCAAGTTCAAAACACCTGACCTCTCGCAATAACCTTCGTTTTAGCGTGTCTTTTGGGCGTCCTCGCTTCTTCCATCCTTTTATTTCCCATTTGTGTGACTGCGTAGTGACTTTCTGTTCATTTCTTCCCAAGATGTGTCCAATATAGCGCCATCTTCTCTATCTTATAACTGTTGATATCAGTGCTTGCCTAAACATCTCGTATTTTCTCACCCCCTCTTTTGAATTCATCCCATGTCATGTTTATCATTTTCCCCCAGGCATTTTTTTCAGATTGCATTTAACTTATTTTTATGTTTTTAGCGGTTCTCCAACTTTTCTTGGCATAAAACTGAAATAAAATTAGAATAAAAATTACATAAATTTGCTTTTAAAACTATATAATTTAGAGTTCCATATTTTGTTCAGACCTTTACAAGCTGCAAATGCCTTGCTTGTGTGTGTTATAATTTCTTTCTCCGTATCTCTTTATCTTTTAAAAAAAATACAGCCTAAACAAAAAAATTGATTTCTTTTTAGTGTTACATCTGCTTTATCTGTTATTGGTGTCTTCAGTATATATATATATATATATATATATATATATATATATATATATATATATATATATATATATATATATTGAATTTAATGTAATTAAGAAGTCTCTGGGTATAAAATATTGCAATAAAGTTGAATAAACTTTATGATTATTATTATTATTATTATTACTGTTATCTCTTAGTCTCTACCTGAATTTCGTGCTAACTTAATAGGGTGACCATAATATCTTGAGCTGAAAAAGAGACATCCAACTAATATTTTTAGCTGTAAACGGGATTTTGCAAGCAATTCATTTTAACCCCCGCCCCATTTGTTTCTTGTCACCAAGCAGAAACAGTTAATTACTCGCTAAACAATGGTAAAATCCCAGATCGCCAAGAAATAAACGAAACAATATGCTCTTGAACTGCATTGAAAGAGGAAAAGATATATATATATATATATATATATATATATATATATATATATATATATATATATATATATATATATATACACACACACACACACACACACACACATTCTACATTGAAAGTTCCTATTTACACATGTTAGGCATCTGTTCTAGCCTTTAACAATAATCTAGACCGGTTTGAAAATTTTTTTATAAAACGGGACAACAGACATTTTCTTTCCGGAGGGAGTACCGAGGGGACGACCGGGGCACACCTTAAAAAAAGAACACGGAAACATGTTGTGCTTTCCCACACTTACCATTGTGACTACGATACTTGTCTACGACGCTCTGGGCAAGGTGCAGATTTTCTGTAGCTTAAATCTAAACTTCTTATCTCTACTGAAGCATCAACGAACGAAAAGGTCTAACGCACTACACCCCCCCCCCCACACACACACACACACTTTTTTTTAAGATAACTGTCTAAGAGATTGAAACCTAAGCAGGGCTGAAAGAACCTAGAGGCTTAGACACTTCGAGCAACCCCCCAACCCCCCCCCCCCCCTCCCCCCCCCCCCCATATAGTTCCTAAATTCATAAGGTCCCTATTGTAAATTTGTAAAGTATCAAAGTTCTCCTTTTCGGTTTAGAAAAAAAAATAATAGTTTGCATTATATTTATTTGTTATTTAGCACATTATTATTATTATTATGCCCCTGAACAAACTGTATACCCCTTTTTGTAAATTGTGTAGGTATGCCGAAAGCTTCCCACCGTTTTTTTTTTTTTTTTTTGGGTCAGATTCCCTAATTCCTTGATTCAAAGAGCCACTTTTCAGATGCGAATCCAACAGAAGGAAATTGGGGAAATCCAGTTCACGCCTGTAAAAAAGTTATTTTTTCGGGGCTGCCTGTCTACAGTTACGAAATAACATGCTGTCCTATGAGTTGGGTACATACATTGCTAGATAACACTGAAGTAACTGAATGTTCGTGTTCATTACTGGAAATTGTCATTCCAAATACATCTACTGTTGTGACTGTTTACTCAGCTATTCTTCATGTAGCTGTTTCACTTTATTAATTTTTTTTTTCATATATGATGGTATACTTGGAAAAAAGGGTAGAGGCAGACTAAGAGAGATGATGAAGGATGGACTGAAACCATGGCATGGAGGGATATCATCAAGAGAGCTGTTGCAATGAACCAGGGATCGTGATCTGTGGAGACGCATGAGCGCCTACGCCAGTTGGCAGGGCACATGATGATGATGATAATAATGATGACGATGATGGTGATGATATACGATGAAGCTTCAAATGAAAACCTTAAAATTGTGATTTAAATTACAATAACCAGGCCACTGTGTTACAACTTGTTAATACTGTCGTTAAGGATGTCAAGAGTGTAAGGCACGTGTCATCACCGTGTAAACATAATAATGATAGAATGACAGTTTGAAGCCCACTCGTATATATGCAAGTGAATGCTGACAGTGGCTAGCAAGCTTGCCTTTCGACTTAGTGGTTGTATGTTTGAATGTGCATTAAGGGGGTGAAAGGGGGGGGGGGGTCGATTGTTGTGACAGTTTCCTAGGTCGATCCTCTATACAACTGATACCCTGAATGTTATTGAAAGTAACAGATTCCGGCATGAAGATGGTGAAGGAGAAGAGAGAGAAGACGAAGTGGAGGTAGTAGCAGTAGTAGTGGTGGTGGGGGGTGTTGTAGTAGATAAACAACGACAATCACAAAACATATACACACACTTAAACACTCACATATACACACATATACACACACAGAGAAACAAATCGAGTCAGTGGAACATATGATGGGTCGCTTGGTACCGAAAGAGTTAATCATACTCATGTGAATCCCATTTTTATCATCATCCTGTACCTGATCAAATTACATAAGCGTTCAAGCCTCACCAATGATCCCAGCCTCTAGGGATCTTAACCAATTCTATGACGAAATTTACCCATTTCATCTTGAGACCTTCCTGTATCATTTCTCTCGGTCTGCCTCTATCACTTCTACAACTCATAAAATGCAATGCAAATCAGAAGCAAACTGGTTAGCTCCACAGTAGTACCTCAGCAACAAAGGACAGTGAACGTTGCGGTTAGAAAAGCCTGTATCTGCCTGTGACGCAAATTGACAAAGTTAAAGTTGAGAGGGTTGACTTCATCGCACCGGCTTTTTTTTTTTTTTTTCCTCTCCACAGAACAGCTAGCCGCCTATCAGGAGCATTACACAGAACACAAATTCAGTAGCTCCGGCGACGATCCACGGGGATCTCCGTAAAAACTGAGTAGTAAGTAATGTCGTATTTGAGTCTACTGGAATCTCCAGTCTGCTCCATCTAGCTCAAGTTTAGCACCAGTCAGCTCCATCTAGTTCCAGTCAGCACCCTGCCTGCAATGACCACTGCGTCCTTGAGACCCTGGAAACTGGATTCTGTACAATGGAACATGGACCCCTGCTGCCACCACCCTGCCTGCAATGACCGCTGTGTCCTTCAGACCCTGCTGTCCCATTTTTTAATGTTGTGTTAAGTTAGGGTGTGCCTCTCAGGGCTTTCACTCTGTTTAACAAATAACAAGAAGACGTATAATATTATATATATATATATATATATATATATATATATATATATATAAACATCATTATATAAAGCATAATTTTATTGATTCATCAGCAAAACTGGCTTTTATAGTTTCATATAAAAATTACATAGCTATAAACAACATTGTTTTAATTAGTTAACATATAAAAATTTCATTGGAATAAACAATACTAATAGTTAAATGTATAGTTTACGTTATACATTTAGATGGTTAGGGGTGATGTAGACACTTCATCGTCGTTTACTTTCCCTTTAATGTAAAAATAAGACAACGATTTTCTATGTTGTTTATATGTATAAATGGACGAATCGTGTAATTTGAAGTCTACACTTGTCCCTCCCTGTGGTTTTTGTGTTTCGAGTACTTTCGAAAATATGTCTTTATTTAATATATTGTGGTGCTTTGAAACGCCTTCGGTGCTATTTTTATGATATTCACCGCAACAGCGGCAAGTTTTGCTTCACATGGATGTAACCCCCCCCCCCCCCCCCCCCCCCTTTCTCTCGTATTCTAATTTAAAAAACCCCGAGGTTCTCTTATCATAGAGTTTATTATCTCTACAGGCCTGACAGTCTAAGGAGACGTTACCCTGGTTAGAAACAAAAACAAACTTATGAGCAGGACAGACTTTAGAGGGAAACCATTGATCGTACATACTAAAGAACTCGGGGCGAAGGTGGGGTCTAACAACGTCGGAAAGGTCGTCGCAGCTGAGAGCTAAATAGAGAGAGAGTTTGTGTGCATCTCACAGAGTTGAAAGTCGGCCCTATCTATACATTTATCTAAAAAGTCGTAAAAGAACTCTAACATTCCTAATTTGGCGAACTGCTATACCCAAAAAAAAAAAAAAACTATCTGGAGAGGGAGATCCAAAATCTGTACTTCATAAAGGTCGCCGCTCAGGTTCAACATTTTCTTAAATAGGAGATTATTGCCTTTTTTTTTTTTTAAGTACTAGCTCCAGTCAGTAGACGACGTCGGTATTTTTTAACTTGTTGCCTAAAGTCTTACCATACGCGGCGTTCCCTAATAATTTCATAGTCTTCCCGGTGAGCGCCGGGGACCTGGAATTTACAAGGTGCTCGCAACGCTTATGACAGACGCCGGTGTCAAATATTGATGTACTGTATGTATGTATGTACATATATATATATCTATATATATATAATACACACACACACACACAGAGCGAGAGAGCGAGAGAGCGAGAGAGAGAGCGAGAGAGAGAGCGAGAGAGAGAGAGAGAGAGAGAGAGAGAGAGAGAAAGAGAGAGAGAGAGATCGCCATATGGCAGTGATCTTGAAACAAAAACTAATGCTAGGAAGAGTCTAATTGTCAGCGGAGATGAGAGGTTTGATGCATATTTAAAATTGCATTGGGCTGCCAGAGAAAGTCCTGGTTGTTCGTCCATCTGGACTTTGGCTTTGTACCAGGGCTTGAGTTTTGCATGTACATCTTTTTTACTGTCTTATTTGTGTGCAATTGGTTGTTCCTTGCCGCTCACGCAGGTGTACTCCGACGGCGTTGGATGCCCCCCAATTAGTCTACTTCTTCGAATCGCAGACTGTCAGATCGAGCCATCGAATTAATCGAATGACGGTTGGTCTATCAAAGTAAGGGTCTAGTTCTACACACACACACACACACACGCGCGCGCGCGCACAGACACACGCACGCACACACATATATATATATATATATATACACACACACACATATATAAATATATATATATATAAACATACATACATATATATATACATATATGTATGTATATATATGTGTGTATGTATATATGTGTATCTCTTAGAATACCGTGGACCAAGAAGAAGAAAAACGTTGACATCCTGCATAATTTGAGCATCGAGAATTGGCTCATAAACAGCATCCTGCCTCGAAAGCTGGGGTATTTTTGTAATGTTAACCGTCGCGGTGGCCTGGAAAGGATGGTTGTGACAGGGACAGTTTCCAGAAAGCGAGGCGGAGGCGGACCTACGCGAATACAAGTCATTGAAGATGAATTGGCTTTTAAAGGACATAGAGTAGAGTGTGAGGCCAAAAGCTGTAACTTATTTAGCTTATAGCTATAGTTACTAGTAACACGTATCACTAGCGATGACGTGTCGTCCTATTTTATTAATATTTTCATTACAGGCTGTTACTTCCCATGGCACCAGTCTCGTGAAAAATAATGGGACAGGTAGAAGACGTACCAGATTTTTACCTAACACCAGTTAAATCTAACAAACTAGGTGCATGTCGGTCAAAGGCAGAGGCGCTGCCGTTCAAACACACAGAAGTAGTAATCGTGGTGGGATTGGCGGCTCAGTTTCCTTAAAATGTTGTAGGGGTTTGAGCACCCAGGGCTTCCCGACCCCCTTCCCCCCCTCCCCCATCCTTTCCTCCCGCCCTCTATCCAATCTTCCCGTTCAAAGAGGACATGGCAAGCATATGTCTATGTTGAAAATCATCTGCGATGTTAGTTATCTGTCTAGATAGGAATTGTTTAACTTAGCATAGCGGACAAAAAACGAATGAAAACAATTACACATGGGTATACCACGCTGTGCAAGAAAGATTATTCATTCGTTGATAGAGATTTTTGTCGAGGCGTTAGACTGAATATGAGTGCGCCTATTCTCTTCCTTTGAGCTTACTACTAAAATTGTGTAAAAGTGCGCGCTTGCG